TTATTTTTAATGTTTTCAATGTTATTGGCATCACATGTTTTTATATGACATTGCACTCTGATCTATGGATGATCTGGCTGTGAAAGACTTTAAATACTCATTCAAAACTTGAAATTCCATTTAATTATTAAAATATTTTTTAACATTATTTTTGGTTAAACTCCTTTCTAGTATACTAAGGCCTAATTACTCAGGTTCACATCTATTCTATCATGATACGACTTATAGTTATATATATTATCTGATTTATATTTATATGTTAAATTTTATTAACCATAGTAGACCTTTAAAATTGGTCTATTTATTTTCTATTCTGGTTAGCCCTTTTTAACTGGAGTTAATTCTTTTTATCATTGTAAGGTTATTAGGGTAATTATTCCTTAATTATCATGGTAATATATGATGTTATGGTTAAATGTTGATAGTAATTTAGGCGATATTGCATAGGGAGTAGTGACACTAGACAATAATGATAAGAAAGTAAAGTAGTAGGCAATAACTAAGAAACAATTAATTGAAAATATTAGTTAAATAATTACCAACAAATGATGGACAAGTATTTACTGCCTTCGCTCCTATTTACTTAGTGTCTAAGACTTTTTTTTCTCTGTGACTTTAAAAAATTATCACTTTTTGGAAGTATTACGAGGATTTCAATCAAATTGGATTTACAGTCTCCATTTTGTTATCATCATTTTTCCTCCACTTCCATAGTCACAACCATTTATCAAATCTAGGACGCAAACAAATTCATTTAATACAGTGATATCAATGGTTATAATTGGGAAGTGAAAGAAAAATGATAATAAAGAAATGGAGAGACCACTAAGCCAAGAAACTAGGTATGCAGGAGAATAAAGCTTGTTACTTGATAGCCCTGATCTCTCTGGTCTGCTTGTCCCTCCTCACCCCACCCTCCCTCTCTTGAATGAAATCATATGAAGTACTTGATCCATCCCAATTTATAAGACATAACAAAAAATTTACACATATCAATAAAATTTATTAAATATACTTTACAATCTTACTTTTAAAAAAAAAAATTTCAAAAATACATTTTATTTAATATTTTATTTATGAAAGGATAAAGAATAAATGAGAAAAATAATATTAAAAAAATATCGTTAATAAAACTTTAATAAGTCTCCTCCAAAAGTGTTTTATAAATTGGGATGGAGTTGGTAATTTTTTTTTTGTTTTTAAGATACATGCATGATTTGAATTGAATATATACCAACTGAATATATTATTGACCTTGATGGGCAATGATGAACAAATAAATAATCCCTCATGATTAACGAATAAATAATCCCCCTGGGCCCTGGTCATGACGTGTTTTATATATTTTTCATCACATGGATTTAAAATTTGTTAGATTATTACTTTCTTTATTTAAAAAAAATTTCAATATTTTGATTACACTCTTATTAATTAAAAGGAATCGCTTTTAAGATTTTATTTGATGTAGTTAGTGCTAATGATATGGCATCTTTTTATTGTAATGTCGTGCACTGGGTTCCTGTAATAAAATATTTTTTACAGAAATTCTTGCATGGATTTGATATATCACGTCATTCATGATCTATTCAATAAAAATATGTTATGTTAATAAAATTTTCTTTACAATGAGATAAAATTTATTGTGTTATTATTTTTAATAATTTTATTTTTATAATTTTTTCTTGTCTTTTCTCTCTCTCCATCATCATACATGATAGAATAAATTTATATTTATGACCATATAACATGGTATATTTTTATTGGGTAAGTGTATACTTCCTCCACTCCTATTTATATAATGTTTGTGACATTTTTTATGTGCTTTAAGAAAGTTACTACCATGTTGCTTTATTTTTTGTAAAAGCCATTTCAACTTTCCAATGATAGTCTTTTAAATTAAAAATATGATAATGAGACACATAAAAATAAAAAATATCTTCAAATCTTTTCAATTTGATTTTTGACTTTTAAAACATAGCTTAACGATGTAATTAATTATGTAAAACTCTTACCGTCACTAATAGGTTGTAGGGAGACCAAGGGGACTAGAGGAAGTCACTATTCCCCAAACTTTTTAATTTTTCTTTTGTAAAATGAAAGAGTTATATTTTTGGCCCTCCAAAATATATTTTCCTATGTTTAGTATTAACAAAAATTTATGCAGTGCTTAGTTCACAAGGAAAGAACAAAAAAGAAAAGTGAAGAGGTGTAATTTTCTCTCTCTATGCTTGGCTAAGCAAGAGAAAATGAGAGGAAAAAATTATTAATTTCATATAGATAATAATAACCTTATAACTTATAGAAAAATATTTATAGATAATAAAATTTAATATTTTAACATATTATTTATATAAATTTATTATAATTATGTTGCTGAGTTGAATAAAAATAGAATTGCAAATTATTTTATCAGATACTTGTAAAAAATTATTTTTTGCAATTTTAAATTTTATTTCTAATAATATAAATAATAAAATGGAGGAAAAATTAGGATGAAAATAAAAGGAGTCAATATGCGGGAAACAAAAAGATTCATGGGTAAATTTAGAAATTAAGTTTTCTCTCCAAAATCTCTCCACATTTGGAGAGAAAAGTTAGAGAAAAAACATAAGGTTAAAATTTAATTTTACTCCTATACTTATTTTTTAGGAGCACTAGGCATCCTATATTCTTAAGTGGGACAATTTTACCCTTGATCTATTTTTTTTAGGAGCAAAAAACCCCTCTATTAATGAATCATTAACTCTAATGTTATATGCTGACTTGATATATGCATGGGGCCCACGCACAATAACATGTAAGACTTCAATCATGTTCTTTGATGCTAATTTTTTCCTGAACTCATTTCAGGAGCGCTTAACACCCTAAAATCTTTTTCTAAGAGCGCTGAGCACTCTAAAATCTTATTAAAATAAAATTTAATAAATATTGTTAAATATTAAGTATTTTAATATTTAGTAATTTAAATATTATTATTTAAAACATTATACCACCCAATTTAATATTTTAATATTTTTAATATTTTTCAATTCTGTATTAAAAATGAAAGGAATGAACCTCTGAATTAACAAAGGAATTTTTTTCTTATCTCCCTATTTTTTTCTTGTTAAGTAGCTTTCTTTGTAACTCATTAATTAAATAAGTGATATCTTTTAAATAAATATTTTTGTTGTCATTTTTTTGGTCCTGATTGTTATATTTCTGATTTTACTCCTAACATTATAACATATAGAGAGTATCAAATTCAGGTAGTATAATATTTTGAAGGAAGATTGTTAGTTGACCAAAAAAATTAAGGAACTTAATCAATATTAAAAATATAAATTTTGACATGTACAAAAATTATAACAATTTGGGCATTGTCTCGAAAAGAAGATCGAAGATAAGTCATTTATAAATTTATAAAATACTAGTTTGAGTTATTAATATTTAAAAAGTAACTTATAAATTTTGAATGAATATTTATAAATAATAATATTTAAATTATTGAATATAAACATATTTAATATTTTGGAAATATTAATTAAATTTTATTTTAATAAAACTTCAAGATACCCGGGCTTCTAAAAAAAGACTTTAGAGTGCTCAATGCTTCTGAAAAAGAAGTTTAGAAGCAAATTAACACCAAAAAATATGGTTAGATTTTTATTTGTCATTGTGTGTGGGTCCCACACCATGTTACATCAACATATAATAGCAAAATTAACGGTTCATTGATAGAGAAATTTTTTGCTTCTCAAAAAAATAGTTCAAAGGTAAAATTATTTCACTTAAGAATGCCTAGCACCCCAAAAAAATAAATAAGGAAATAAAATTAATTTTTAACCTAAAAAAAAATATGAATTTCACAAGTTATTTTCTTTACATTTTTCTCACTCCCACTTTTCTCTTCCTTGCTTTTTCTCTCCTGCTTAGCAGTCAGTACCACATTAACTTCACATTAACTTAATTATTAATTACTGAAATATAAAGTAACATTTGAAAAGAGAATAACTTTCTTGCCCTAAGAAAATACTCCCTTTCTCTGCTTGTAGCGGTAAAAAACTATATCACACACAGTTTAAAATGACTTATGAGTATTTGCAGAGGTGGCAACATATAACACTGGCGCTGGCTTCCGCCTTGAGCCTGGATTCATCAGCCATGACTTTGGAGAAAAGGAAGGAACAAGGATTTGGTGAAGAAGAAGAGGAGGAGGAGGAGGAGCTCGCAGAACATCCCTGAGAGGCAAATGGGAATTGCTTTTGGAGCTGCGAACATGGGTTCAAAGTGAACGATATATTGCAATGAAGAATAAGAGCAATAAGTTGTGATTCAGATTTCTTGGAGTAAGGAACGAGAAGCGAATAAAAGTGAGTACCGTGAGAGAGAGAAGCGAAGAAGAGGTGAGGTTGGCAAAGGGTAGAGGAAGGAACGCAGGAGAGTAGTGGCGAGAGGGATAGATTGGGGAAGTCGGTAGAATGCCGGCAAGATGGCGCTAGTCGCCATCTCTCTGTGTGTCTCTTTGTGAATGAAGTCAAATGAGAAATCAATGAGGAAGATGACTCACAGGTGCAGGGGATTTCTAGAGGGAAGAGAGAAGAAGAAAACATACTAACAAAAATAATTGATGAAACCGCTTAAATATTTTATAATAAAAAATATTAAATAATGTAAAAGTGGGCTCCACTACAAAAAAAAAAGAAGATGACATAATAGAGTAATAAAATAAAAAATCTTTAAAGTTAAGTGATATAAATGATTCATAGCTGAGTTCAAGGTTATTTATAAGTTTTTTTGTACAGTTCAAGAGCAACAACAATGACCGTTAATCCTTGTTTTTTAAATTAAATGAAATTCATTATGAAGTTTTCAACTATAGAGAGACCATCACTGAGCTAAACTTTCGAAATTTGGCTTTAATTACATTGAATCAAGCAATGGCGGCAGGCATAACACAACGACGAAGTCAAGGTACTTGAGCAACTCACAAGGGGTTGTTTTATCACATTTGGCTTAAACCATATATAATACTAAAATTTCAAGTTCACATGATATTAGATAGTACATTCTTTGTTTATTTATTTATTTTTCAGAGAAAAGAGATTCAAACGAAGATTGGAAAACACTTGTGATCAACACTACTGATGAGCAAATTAAAGTACATGAGTTGACTATATTTATTTATAGAACTCCATCACTCCAAGAACAGAGAAGGCACGGCATGACACTTTGAAACTAGAAAAGCCAGAACGTTTGCAAAGAGACTCAAACTCTTTTTCAGTTCTTTCTCTTCCATCATGAAGTAACATGAGATTGTCCATGTTCGCTACCAACTTGGCTTCTTCTGTCGCTCCAATTGCTTCTGGCATTATGAATTCCACCACTATCACCTTCCCTTTTTCTGGTAATGCTTCATGACATTTGCTCAACACTTTAATGCTATTTTCATCTGACCAATTGTGACATACAGCCTGCAAATTAAAGGGTGTCAAGATCTATATTAGTTACATCTAAACCTAACTCAATTAGATACGCAGTCAGCCACCCCTGAATTTTAGTTTGATCCACTACTATATGAAGGAGTTTTTACCTACTGGTTAAAATTGACATCTGAGAACTGGTGTAGAAACAAGCAGTACAGTGTATAAAGTCGAGACTCTTTACATTGGTTATTGAATTGGTGTAGAAAGTCTTAGTTGTAAAGATAAAAGGTGTAGAGATATTCCATTTTTTACATCAATTATTTGTAATTGATGTAAAAAGATTTTTTTAAAAGAAAAAAAAATGGGGGCTCTACTTTCCACCCTGGTTGTTTCTGCAACCAATGTAAAAAATTACTTTGTACACTGGTTCTTATTAAAACAGGTATAGAAAGTTAACTGTTTACATCAATTCTAGTTACAAGTCACAATCGAAACATGTAGCATGCATCACGTTATATTATTACATGGCTTAGCTTGTTAACTAGGTATTTATATAAAAAAAAAGGGTAAAATGATAATTTGCCCCTTGAACTTTATATAGGCCCAATAGAATCATATTTATAATTTTTAGGTCCTTCTGTGTGATTCTTTTAGTTCATTTGTGTAATTTTTCGGGGTTTTTTTCTTTAATTTTTACTCAACTAATGATTAAAATTAACAGCAGGGTGTGATTGTCATAATTTTAAATATTTAGGGGTAAAAATGAACTAAAAACAAGTTTAGAGACTTAGATACTCTTGGATCTATAGTTTAAGGATTAAATTGCCACTTTACCTGAAAAAAATCTATCAAACTAAACTGATGACCAAGTAGCAGTAATGTCATTATATATGTCTATTTTGACTGGCTAACTAGGCACTCATTAAGGAAAAAAAATTTGTGAACCTGTATTAATTGTCATCTAACGATGTTATCACATATTATGTATGTCTATCTAGACTAGCTAGCTATAAGATTGATAGATTTTTTAAACTTATAAATACATATATAATACATGACAATCTGTACATATATGTTACATATTACATAATGTGACAGTATTGTTAATTGATCCTAAGTATATATGGGTTGATAGACTTTTTATTTACTGATGATGAATACATAATTGGCACGTCATGAAACACCTTAAACAAGATATAACCTATCTTGATAAAAAAAAAGAAAAGAATTAATGCTCCTAGTACATTATTGAACTTTATAGCATTTGTTCCACCAGACGTGCCACATGTTAGCTAACCTATTAATCAGGTCTTTGGAGTTGATCATAATTAAATGTTATCTTCTTTTACTCTTGGGGAAACATATTGCAATGATTTTAACAATTAATCTGCAATATTACTCTAATAAAAATGCTATAAATAGTGCTCTACGTGAAATAGTTTAAAGGCATAAAAATGCCATTTAACCTTTTAAAATGTAAAATAAATAAATAAATAACGGTATGTTTTACTCAAAAGGCAACTCGTGAAATACAAACTAGATTTAAAGCTTCAAGTAAGATGAAACTAACCTTTAATATTATGGCATCACCTTTTGGAACACTTTCAAACATATCTCCTCCTACATGCTCAATCCCTTCATAACATTTGAAATTTTATTAAAAGCTATAAGTCAGCCATCTCTAGGGGGGAAAAGAGAACTCTTCCATATTACATCAATAATGGTTAGACATTGGCAATTAAATTAAACATCAGATTTCTAGGTTCAAGTGCTGGTATCAAGATAAGATACGTATTTAGTCAATAATTATGCCATAAGAAACCAATGGTTACTAAAAGGAGTGCTAGGTTAGAGTCTTTACTAAATGCATTTGTGTATGATTCAATATATCATCTATTACATATGAAAGTACCTATCCTAGGCATTAAAAAAAATTAACTAAGTGCTTGATTAAATTTGTAAATGCTCAAATAATTTGATTATAAATTGACAATACACAATAACTGATTTAATATATATATATATATATATGATGAAGGGTATTCAAACAAACTAAACCACATTGAACTGAACCAAACAAATAAAAACCAACTAAAACCAATCATTAATGAGGTTTGATTTGGTTTTAAAATTTCACAAACCGATTGGTTGGTTCAAATTTCTGTTTTGAGCCTCTGAAACTTGAACCAAACATGAATCGCACATTTTCAAAATTTTTAGTGAGAGAGAGAGAGCATATACCAATTTGAAAAGATTTTTATTGGCAAGAAACCAAATTCAAGAGATTGATGATAAAATTTAATCACATATAAATCAAGGGCGGTGGGATTGCATCTCGTCTTGTGGGAGTGTTTGGTCACGGTGTCTCCCTATTTGGCTTCTGCCGCAGGCGGGATGTCCATCCTCTGTTTCCTATTTGTAATTTCCTTCTTGTTTCCTGTTTTTCGTTTGGTTTTGCTGATGGATTGGTGGTTCATCGGCTCGAAAATAATCATATTTGAGGGGGTGCTCTTTGCAATGCCTCTTGTATGCTCGGTGTTGATTTTGCTTGTGATTGGTTTGATCTGGGGCTAGCTTCTCTGATTTGCGTTTTTGGGGACAAGAAAATGGCAGTCATATTTATGATTGCTCTTAGTGGCTATTTGAGGTGGTGGCAAATCTGAGGTGCTCGTGGTAGATACCTTCTAATTCATCGGATGAGGTTTTATGGTTACGTGTTCATCATCCTGTTTTATTCTTCCTCTTATTGTGTCTATTTCACCAACATTCATTGTTGTGTTCGCTGTTTTGGGGTTCACTCATGGTGGGCTCTTCTTCAACCTTTTTCGTTGTTCTCTTAAGGTTCTCTTTAATTTAAAGAGAGAGAAGGGGAGAGGAGGGGAGTGAGGAGGAGGGGGAGGAGGAGAGGAGAGAAGGGAAGAAGAGAGGAGGGAAAATTTTAAAAATTTCCCCTCCCTCCACCTAACCAAACAAGGGAGGGACTCCCCTCCCCTTGTTTGGATGGGACAAGGGGAGGGGAGGGGGCTCCCCTCCCCTTATTTGATAAGGTGGAGGGGGAGGGAAAATTTTAAAATTTTTTCTTTCCTTCCTCTAATCAAACAATGTCTAAAAGGGATGGGACCTTTTGGGTGGTTCTCTAAACTCTACCCCTACCCCTTATGGCTTTGATGGTTGTTGTTGGCTTGTTTTCTTTTCTATGGATTTTGGCAGATCGATGGCAAGAATTCCTGCAGCGGAGGTCTTTGGTCCCCCTCTTATTCTATTGTTTAGGTTTAGGGTTTTTGTGGGCTTTGTTCCTTAATCTTTTGGGCTTTTGTTTCTGGTCTGTGGCTTTTCTTTGTTCTTGTATAAATGGATATGTTTTTTCTCTGGTAAAAAAAAAAAATCAAGGGCACCATTGGTGAGGAAAAAAGATGATAAAATATGCTCGGCTTTAGCCTTGATCCACATGGCCAATCTAAACCAACAAAAGACTGAACCAAATCAACATTATTTAATTAAAAAAAACCAATCAAGCTTCATTTTTTGTGTGCCAATCGATTGATTTTGTTTATTTCAGGATTTATCCAAAATCGAAGCAAACCCACCTTTAAACACACTTATATCAACAATGCATCTGAAAAGGGGGAAAAAATCATCTCCTGACAAAAATCATGTTTTTCTTTCTTGATTGTAACATTGTAATTGGAAGGGATGGTGCAGTTTGAATGACTTGGGGCAAATCAAAATTGATACCCTTAATTGAAGGGTACTTGGAGACAATCACTTTAAGGTTTTGACCAGTGCCACCTCCAACATCAACAAGTGTTGATATTCCATCAAATCCTTTGTATGTTTCCAATATCATTCTCATCTCCATATTGCAAACGTTGGCCATTGCTTTGTTGAAAGTTTTGTTCCATGTTGGATCTGTCTTTGCGTATTGATACATTGGCATTCCATGAATTTTCTTAAACAAGTCATTATCTTTGTCTATTATTGCATCCTTAAAGTTGACCCTACGTTCATCAAAAGGAATACCAATGAACAAGCATCATTATCAAGAACATCAACATTGTAAACTTGTGAGGGTCCTTAAGATATCAAATAATAAAAAAAATTGTTCTACCTCTATTTTTAAAAACCTGTCACTGTTGGAGCATGTACTTAATCCCAATCCACCAAGGCTAAGTCTTGGCCCACTAAAACTTATTCTTTTATGTAGTTCAGCAGTACTTATAATTACCCCTATTCAGTCATTATCAGAAACATAAGAGATATCACCATGCATAATTAGGAGATAACTTTTGAGCATGTTTACAGAGAAGTTAATAGATGCGCTGATCTAATGGCACAGAAGGCTTCATCGGAGAATTTTAATATTTGTCTTTTTTATATTTCGCCTACTGATTGCATAAGTCTTATAACTTCTGACATTACTTGAATTTGGAATTTTCACGGTATTACTGTGGCCTTGTGTTCAAACAGAAAAAAATTATTCTTTATGTAGTTCAGGCTCACTATTGGTGTATATTACTTTGAGGGCTTACGTGTCTTATCTCTTATCTCTTCTGCTTATCTTTTATCACATTTGTAACATGCACTCGCTTTTGTATATAAAAATATAGCTCTGTACAAAATAATCACTATGAGCAATGAGTTATATTTGGTTAACATTCAATATTTTGGCTTTATACCTCTTTAGTCACTTTATTATATTAAATTATTTTTCTTCACCATCTTACCCAACAATTTAGTGGAGAAAAGATAGAGACCTTATCTTTTAAAACGAAGAAATACAGATTGAGTGGGAATATACATAGATATGAGCCCATGACTAATAGTCATATTTTTCCCATTTTTAATAATATAATAAGCATTCATTCAACCAAAATGAGGAAGGAGTAATAAACTTACCAAGCTTGCATGATTGCTGGATGACAAAAAGATTGGTACGAGTCCCAAGAATCCACTCACAAAGTGCTTCCCTATGGCAAAAATCGCATAGAATCTCTCAGATGCACCGTTTTCGTTCTCACGAACCGAACAACTCAGAAGAGAGTGACTCGCGAGAAGCCTCAAGAGCCGATCGATTCTGAGAGCCAAGTCTCTGTGCTGAGATGAACTTGGAAGCCGAGAAGCCACCTCAGAAGCTGACACGTGTCTTCCTCCTCCTTCCTCAGCGATGATGTCGAACAAGTTCAGTTCTATGGCCGCGTTCAGAGCTGCGGAGAAGATCTGGCTGCAAGAAGAAACGCTGAAAGCACGGACGAATCTTCTTCTTCGCTCACAGTTTTTGGAATCTCATCGTCTTGTTTCTCTTTGGAATCCAACAAATCCATCGTTGATTGATGGTCTCTCTCTGCTCCCTCCCACCCACCTGGCCTCTCTTTCTCTCTCCCCTGAATGAAACGGTATGAAGTAGTCCTTTAGTTTTTTTGTTTTTTTTTTTTTTTGATATCATGACTTTAGTTTGATACCAACCGAAAATCTCATTGACCTTAGGTGGGCAATGATTAACAATAAATAATCCCTCATGATTCATGATTAACATTGAGGGTTTTGTGCGGGTTGTTCTTTGTTTTTGTTTTGGGCTATAGGCCTCTGTTTATACCAAAAGAAACACTTTCTTTTTATAAACATGAGGGCAAAGCCCAATATAGAAACTTAAATAGTTGGGGAATGAGACCCCATACAATCAAAATACACCAGCGACCTCACAAATTGTGGAGCCACATCAAAAAATCATTATGAGTTTATGACTAATACCATTCTTTGCAAGAGCGAAAAAAAAAAAAAAACCCTTGGTCATCACGTGTTTCACTTGGATTACAAAATTGTTAGATTGCTTTTGCTTTTGATCCTTAACCCAAACTAATCAAGTCCACAGCTTGTGGACATTGCATCAAGGTAAAGCCAATAATTTAAGCAGGTTAGATTATTCGAATCAAACTTTATATATTCTATCTTTTTAAGAAAGGCTTATATGACCAAGTCTGATTATAATTTTTTTCAGCTAAAATCGGGCTAACCTGTCAGACTTGATTAAAATTACCAACTTTACATATATGTAAAACCAGAAATTTCAACTGTCGAGCTTATTTAAGTTGGGTTCAATTAAAGTCAGGCTTATTCAGATCGGGTTTAAAGTATTTTATCTTTTAAAAATGTCCATATAGTCAAGTTCAGCCTTAACTCTTTTTAGAGGAATTCAGGCTAGCCTAAATTATCGGCTCTACTTTAAGGTGTATTTAATTTTTGTTTTATTTAATTTATTAAAAAACATTTTTTATATTCTAATTATACTCTTATTAATATTAAACGGAATCTCATCTCATTTCTCACTCAAGCTATCACAAACCTAATGCAATGCGCGGACCATCAAGATCTTTAGATGTATAGAATTAAAATTGAAATATTAATTTATACATTTATAATATTTAATAGTAGAGCACACCCTACTTTTTTATTTATTAAATCTAAAAATGATACATGTGAGATATAGATATCCATATTTAAAAAAAAAATCTTTCTATATTAAACCATGCAATCATTTTTCCTCCGTATTCAAAATCCAAGTTATTAGTTTCTAGGAAGTGGAATCGATATGGTAAAATTCGAAGGTTATTTTATCTTTTTGTTTGACATCTTATCATTAGGACAATTTTTTGTTCTCATAAAACATCCCATAAATATGACAAAAGTAGTAAAAAGTAACAATTAAGTAATTCGTTAAATAGTAATTAGAAATGTCCTTTTATAGTTAAAAATAGAAATGTTAATTCTTAAATAATATACACAAATAATTTTAAAAAAATTACAGGGTTAAGGGGTAAATTAACTTTTAAACTATAGATTCTGGAATATCTAGGACTTAAATTCATTTTAATTTCTGCTTCTCTTCAACATTTTAAAATAGTGCAATGTTATCTCTACTATTAATAAAAATTAATTTTGACCGTCAATTAACCATGGAAAAGAACTTAAAAAATTATATATAAAGATGAAAATAATTAGGAAAAAGTACTTGGTAATTACAAATAAGTGCTTTATAAAAAAATTAATATTGATTAATTTCTCTACATTACAATAAATACCATGAAAATATTATATTTATTTTAATAATATCTTATTAAATATTAATAACAGAATATATAATAATTTAAATACTATTATTATTTACACATATTTTAAAAGTTAACTTTTGATATTTGCAATTTCTCCAAATATTACAACTTAATTAATGTATTTGTGATTTAAAAGTGAATTATAATAATTGAGTTGTTAAAAAGAAATCATCTATAAATCACGAATAAACTAATTGATCTTTTAATTTTTAAAATAAGAATAAAAATAATATTTAAATTGTTAAATATTAAAATATTAATATTTTAATAAGATGATTATAATAAAAATATTATTTTTAATTACTTATTAGTGTCAATGATGGTGATATGATAATCACTTGGTAGCCAGTCAAAGTGTTTAGTGAGAATTTAATTTATTCTTTTACACATACAAGAAATAGCATTTAGCTCTTTGTATTTATTTTTAATTTATAAAAAATTAACCCGTATTAATTTTTTTGATGGTATTTATTTGTAATCATTGGGTATTTTATGTAATTTTTGAGGTTTTTTTGTGATTTCATGGCTAACTAACTGTTAAAATTAACTTTTGTTAATGGTAGAAACTAGGAACAACATTACACTGTTCTCAAATGTTGATTGGAAAAGATTATATAAAAAAGGATTAAGGTTCATTTTTATTCCTAAACTTTTTTTCGAGGAGTGTGGGGCATCTTATACAGTGAGGCAATTTTACCCTTGAGTTATTTTTTTGAGAAGCAAAATAACCCTTTCATTAAACAATCATTAACTTTGCTGTTTTCTATTGACATGACATATGTATGGGACTCATGTAGAGTGAAAAGTAGGACTTTAATCATGTTCTTTGGTTCTTATTTTCCCTTGAACTCTTTTTTCAAGAGCGTTGGACATCTCAAAGTCTTTTTCTAAAAGCATTGGGCATCTTGAAGTATTGTTAAGTAAGAATAAAAATAAAACTTCTCAAACAAAAGAGCTTTCAAGGCCAAAGTAAGTTTTCTTATTCTTACTTAACATTAGAAGGTGACATGAAAAAGTTATTCTGTAGTAGCATTTGCCAAGGTTTTGTGATGGCCACCATTGAGGGTCTAAAGGCTTGAGGTAACTTGTCTAATCCTTCTACTACCTTTTAATCTTCCATTTAAGCTAGATTATATCATGAGTTTGGTTAGGGATTTTGATGTTGAGGGTGCCCTAGCTATGGGTCTAAATCTTAGAGTTTGTTTGAGGTTAGATAAGTATTATTGATAATGTTTTGATGGTAGAAATTATGATGGGGTGGTTATATCTGAAATCCTAGACTTATTGGGTGATTATTAATAATGATTTAATGATGGAGAGGCTTAATAAATGAGTTCTCGTAAGTGTATTGAAGGTAGCAAATGAATAAATTTGAACGTTTAAATGTATGGGAGATTTTTTGGGTGTTGATGTTAATTAACTAAATTTGAAGGTAGGAAATATATTAATATTATTTTTATGGGTATTATTTATCAATTGCAAATGGCAAAGGGCTCAATAAAACATTTTTCTCGTGTTTCAAAAACTATATTTTAATTCAGTTCATTATACACTTAAAATTCAAAGTGCAAATTAGTGGGTGGCATAGACTTTTTTTTTCCTTTTTTTCCATGAGTTCTAATTTTGTTGGTAAAAAAGGTTTAATTAAAAAACATATAACATAATTAATAATCAATATCATTAAATATAAAAATTATAGGGAGCCAATAAAGCTCATTAATTCACTTTACAGCTATTTTTTCAAAACAAAAACATAAATTTTTAAAAATATTTTTAATTTAATACTTCATTTATGCGAGAATAGTAAAGAGAGAGAATATAATGGGAAGAGTAATATTGAAAAAGTATAATTAATGAAACATTATTTTTGTCAAAGTCTCTTGTATATATTTTGGGACATTGAATATCTATAAAAAAATGTTTTATAGCCTGTGATGGAGGCAGTATAATACAACTTATCTTGAACTTTGTGCAAATAAAGCTTACTCCTTTAGTCCTATTTATAAAGTACTTCTAACATGCTTTGCTGGAACTAATAAAAATATTAAAATTCATTAACTCTATCTAGAAATTTAATTATTTCTTAGCTTTACCCTATCAAATATATATACTTTAGCAATATATTTTTTTCTCCAATATTTAATGGAGGTTAAATGACAATAAAAATTTAATAAGGTGACTTGTAAATAGGATAAAAAAATTTTCTCTCTTTACCTTATAAATAGGGTGAGAGAGAGTATTTAGTTGTTTATATATGAAAAGTAATGCTTTTGAAATTTGTTAACAAGCTCGTCGGCAAAACAAACCCTAAACACAAGAACCAATCAAAGGGGGAGAACAACTCAACATAAAATCTGGAAGAAATTAACAAAAAAGGAAAAAAAAAAACACTGAAAACATTAATTTCTCAAGCTTTCTGAATTAAAAGTGAAAATTAAAGGGTCCACAGTTAAACAAACAATACACCCCTTTTTTTATCAATCTAATCCATACTGATATCTCCTAATCATCATAAGAATAATTAATTACTAGCTCTGTCTCTGAACAGGGGTTGAAAAAATGCCAACTTGAAAAAGCAAAAGCCGCAAAATAAGTTGAGTCGTCGATTCTAAACTCATTTGTAAATTTTTCAGCAGACATAACATGTTCCATTGCTATCGAAAAATAAGGTCTGCCTTTCCAAAATTTCTTGAAGTTGTCACCATACACAGGAGCGAAAGGTTGATTATTCTCTAATATCACAATGAAAGGTGGCCTCTTCCTATATTCTTCAAAGCTGTTACCCAATATGACCAGATTCCTTAATAGACTCAATTCCCAATTTGTCTCCATGAGGTTGTTGTATAAATGTATTTCACAATGTGGCATGAAGAATATAGTTGGTTTCATAGCTTCCCTCCTCCCGTGTTCGTTTATCGATAAGACAGAACAACCAAGAGTTTTCATAACTTGGGATTCAGTTTTTGAGATGACAGGATCGAATACCTCGACAAGTTCGATCCACCCAAAATCTTTTTTCATCAACATTGCAAGACTGAGCTGTAATCTGGAAATCTCTTCCAATTCAATGTTGCCAATGCCGTAAATTACCATTTGTGCCTTCGAGTCTGATCCCAGAAACTTGGAAAAGTGTCCTGAAATTGTCGGAGTGTTTACCTGATGTCGGAAATTATGATAGAATTGAGAGCTTTCTAATTTATTTATGCATCTTTTCATTCTCCACATCAATATCTTTTTTCTGAAGGGAACAATTTTCAGAATATTTCTTTTTCCCCAATCATTTAACTCTAACGATGTTTTCAAATCTTGGAGGCTGTTGAAAATCTCCATTGTCTTCCTTAAGATTGCCATCGAGACTGTTGAAAAAGAACAATACTCATAAGATCATGAAAACGTTTCAGGATTAAAATTTTCATGTTTTGCTAATTACATCATATTAATATTATGAAGCCAAAGCGCCAAAATGAGTAATAACACGAGAGATTGAGTTTCTTAAAGCAAAATAGCATCCAAATTTCCAAACACTTAGAAATCTGCAACATACTGTCAAAAGTCGAATTTCATCCCAGGCTTCCATTTTATATAGAAATTACACTACTGCAATGAAGTGCACGCATTAATTAAACTAGATTTTAGTAATCATTTTTCTAGTTGATTTAATTTAATTGCCAGGATTTGGCCAAAAAAAAAAATTAGTTCCCAGAACTTTTAACATTGCCATAACTAGAACTGAATTAACTAGAATAATTTCTTGGACAAATCTTCAAGACTAAAAATACTGTATTTAACTTTTATAAGCATTCTTTTAACCTTGAAGCATGTAGTGGCCTTGGTGAAGATATGGGATCCAGCTGACCTAAATTTTTCTTTCAAAGAAAAATACTGCATTTAAGACCTCATTATATATGGCCACTTATTTTGATATCTCACTTCAGATTATAGCAAACTGTTTAACAAGTTTTTAACACGCTCCCATTACCGTATTATTCTATGTTCACTCTCATGCCAACATATTCCACCACATATCATACCTCCAAATTTTAAAAATTCATCAAAGAATAAGTCACAATAATTTTATTGGCACAAAAATTAAACAGGTATAATATTACCAAATGACACACACACACACACACACATTGACAATCAATGACGTCAAAAGGGAAGCCCTTAATCAAACATAAAATAAATTATACAATGTGATCAAGCCACAACGGAACAATAAACAATATATAATTCGATGCACGAGAACTGGCATTAATGACGATAAGCATAGTCATCACGTGAGTCCTTAGCAAGAATAAGAGGAAGTTTAATGAAAGCAAGAGACACATTGCTAAGAGATTCCATGAAGGCAAGAAGCTCAGAGACGAGACCCTGATACAACCAAATTACACGAGTTCGGTTTCTTCCGTGAGATGGAGTTAAAGAGTTCAAGGCAATCCGATTCAATGATTACTGAGTGTTCATTAAATTCAGAGGCCAAGAAGAAAGTTAAAATTTCCACCATAAAGCTTGAAGTAGATAGAGCTAAGAAACGGGCAAGTGGAGCTTGTATGGGCCCAAGCTCATAAGCCTGATTATCTTAAAATTATTTTTTTTGAAACCCGATCTTTATACATAATGTTCAAGGTTGGCTTGCAAGCCTGTTATTATTATTTTTTATTTTTTGAATTTGAAAAATTAAAATTTTCAATTATAATATTTTACATTATTTTTAATATACAAATTATAATATTCAAAAATTAAAAATAAATAAGAAAATTTCTAATTTTAAAGTGTAAACATATATTTTTAAGTTTAGATTTAATTTTAAAATTAAAAATATTTTATGTTTTCAGGGTAAAAAAAAATGAGTCTAAACAAGTTGCTTGAGGTGAAGCCCATTTTATCCCTAGATAGAGCTGGTAAAAAGGGCCGGCCCTTGAAGGGCTCGGGCCTTAAAAGGGCCAGCCCTTTTAAGCTCGAGTTTCTTTTAGGACCTTGATATTTGAAGCCCGGCCCTTGACATAGCAGGCTCAGGGCCGGCCCTGCGGGCTTTAGGCCCTTTTAACTATTTTTATTTTTAAATTTTTTAATCAAATAAAAAATTACTTCATTCTAATATAATACTCAATCAAGAAAGGTACAACAAAAACTAACTAAATAACATCTAAATGAACTAAAAACACAAATAAAATAATGGTAATGCAATAAGCAATATATCGGCTAAGCCGACAAACACCCAATTAAAATTAGAAGAGTAAATGTTGAACTGAATGAATCATTATCATGGATCTAGATGAATTACGGGATTTAATGTTGTATTTTTTTTAGAAAATAGTAGCCAAGGATTTCTGTATGAAATTTATATCAATTAAGAATCAATTATTGTCAAAACCTGAATGAAAAACAAGCTACAATGAACTATTGTTAATTTAAAATAAGTTATTATTAAAACCTAAATGAATACTTATTGATAAAGGCTAACTCCAATCCACAAGTATCTACTCAAATTTTGACAACAAGTAATCATTGATTGATATAATTTTTTATCAGTGATTCTTCATTGCTATTTTTCCTTTTTTTTTGCCTTCCATCCTCAGTAAATATGGACTAATATGTGATGTGGAGTAAGATTTAGTTTATTTTTTTTTTCAAATCTAAAAAGAGTAAAAATTATGAGAATTAATTAAAAAAAATATACATGCGGGCTTAAATGGCCTGGCCCTCGGCCCTGCAGGGTCAGCCCTTTTAAGCCCTAAATTAAACGGGCTTAAACGGGCCAGTCCATTTAAGCCCGATTTATTATTTTGGAATCCCATTTTTAAGCCCAGCCCTACTCTTATATGGGCTTAAACGGGCTAGCACGAAGGGCTCGGCCCGTTTTCCCGGCTCTATCCCTAGGTTTTAAAGTCTAGTTTCCCTAATATTTTTTTAAGTCCAAACTCTCTTATATAAAAATTAGAGTTAGTAATTCAAACAAAGCCCAAACTTGCCCAAAAAATTTAAAATTAGGCTTAGCAAAATAATGGTTTTTTTATAAGTTCAAAAAACATTCAGGCTAAGCCCGAATGCTAGAAAAAAATATATTTTTAAATAGTATAAAATATAATAAATATTAATTAAAATACCATATATTTGAATGCATTATTATATATATTCTTTAAAAATTTATCTATACTGTCATATTTTTATTATTTTAAATCAATAAGATGTCTCAAAATAATATTCAAAATATATTTTAATATTAATTTTTAGAATTTAAGACCCATATATTTTTTTAAAATAAAATTTTTTGAGTCTTACATTTCATTTAAGTATAAAAAAATGTTTTATATTTTTTATAAAATGAAATAATTAATTTTAAAATAAAAAATTAATTAAAAATAATTCTAAAAGTAAAATTTGAGTATTTGTGCCATTTGAAGCTCAAAGAAATTCAAGCCAGCCTTGATCATTCCAGCTTTTCAGATAGTTGGGTTAATTCAGATCAAGCTTATTGGTGTTAGCCCAAATAAGCCCCTCCCACCTCTACTAAAAGTAGCAGATGCTTTCGTTTCAATCTCTATCTATACATTGCAAGAGAACCGGCGTCATTGCAAAATCATAAACGCACAATTGAAATTCGAACGTGCAAACACGCAACATGTACACACATATTTCGACAATCAATGTCGTTAGGGTGAAAAATTGGGGTAGGAGAAGGCGAAGCATAATGCTTAATTAAACATGAAATAAATTAGATGATGTGATCAGTAAATAGAGAGATGACAGATAATAAACATACGATGCGATCAAACTTACATGGAGATGTTGAAAACTTGATGAGGTCTCAGTCTCTATACATTGCTCGTACCAGAACTGAATATGAGATGAGTACAAATACTGTTATTTAATTCCTATATATATAGGAATGTAGATTTGATTATATTTTCATATAAGATCAGTATTAGTTATTCGGTAATTAGTTACGATATGTATTTATAAACTATCTTGAATTTTTCTAATATCTTACTATTTCAAAGTCGATTTAAATTTTGGTTAATTACCATTATCTTCTCTATATTAATGAGGGCTAAATGTAATCATTCTTTGAAAACATTAGTTAAATATTTCGCATAATATGGTTAATTGGGTAGGTCTTTTTTCTAATGAAGAAAAAGAAAATAAAATATACCTTGATTAATAATTTTTTGAATAGCATAAGGAGTAAACTATGTCGAAAACAACAAAGATTATCTCTCTTAAGGTAGACATTTTCCCAACTAAATTGGGATATATACAAAAGTTGAGATTCAAACTCTCAACTAGTTGCTTTAGTGACAATAGCCCTTACCAATGAGACCAACTTTAATTGGTACTTTGATTAATATTTGTTGTCAATACATTGATAACAAAATTATGGAAATTGAATTTATATGATGTATATCTTATGACTATTTCACACTTAATTAAAGTAAGTGTTAAATTGTTAATATTTTTTGGGCCAAAAGTGCTAAATTATTAATTATTAATATAAGATTATAAGTTGAGAATAAAATATCAAGACAATATATCCCAAAGATAATTACGGAACATAATGAATGTGCTTAAAAGAAATAGTAATTTTTTTAAGTATTCCATTTTTACCTCAGCGAAATCCATTTAAAGCTTCTCTCAATTTGAGGCTACGGAATTTGAATTTAACAACAGCACCAATATCGGATGTAGTTTTGGCACAAAAGTTGTAGTAAATTCAAAATGTTATTATAATTGCATGACTTATAAATCTTTGGGGGAATAATATTAAAGTCTCAAACTAATAAATTTATGACGGTTAAGTTCCCAACAATTTTTTTATATTTTAATATTAATTTAAATAGTTTTAAATTCAGGAATTTTAATTGCAAATAAGACATTTAAATTTTAAATAGAACTCTCAATTCTTACTGACAACTGTTTGAATCAATATTTGAAACTTACTTTTAAAATTTTTATTGGAAACTCAATTATCATAAATTTTAAATTTTGAGACTTTATTGTCATTCTCCCTAAATCTTTAACAACTTCACAGAAATTTGTGTTATTTAATATTAATTTATTTTAATATAATAGTACTACTTCCAGTCCTTAATAGGTAAACTTAACTACCTTTAAGCTTGTTAAAAATTGATAATTATATCTTCAAAATTATTTAAAAAATATGTAATTTTCTAATTTTATCATTCTTTGTGATTAATAACCATAAAAAATTGAAGTATAAACGCATTGAAACAATAATAAATAAATAAGAGATGGTAATCATAAATAAATAAGAGATAAAATTTAAAAAACTAATTACACTAATCTTGCCTTATATTAAGGACAATTTTTTTGAATCAATTTTTGCCTTC